TACTGACTGATATCCAATTAAAAAGGCATATATTGGATCAAAATATAATTTATTTACTAAATTTTCATTATAAAGGACTGCGGCGTGTGATTATAAACAATACTTAAAATTATACCGCATAAGTTTCTTTTCTATGAAAAAATCAATATTTATTTTAAAGAGAAATATTTACTATTTCTAACTTTTTTGAATTAAGTATGAGAGGGTGAAAATATGAAGAGTAATGGCGAACGGGAAAAATAAAAGTGTCCAGGGGCGGGAATCGAACCCACAACCTTCTGCTTACCGGGCAGGTGCCATGTCCACTAAATTTTCAGTTGGCTAAACACCAACCTTTATCAAGGTATTATAAAATGTTTATGTCAACAACAAACTCAGCGTCACAGTCAGGCGCTGAGTTTGTTGTTGACACATAAATATGTTGTAATACCTTGAAAAAGGTTGGTGTTCAACCAACTGAAACCTTGATAAACAAATTATCTTTTGATACAATATATGCTTTCTAATTGATTAGCTATTTATGGATTGCCCTATTTTAAAACCTGACTGATATGTTTATTGGTATGGTAGAACCTCCCTGTAAAGGACACCTAACTTCAGAGCCAAAGTGTCTTTAGGGAGAAGTGCTCTCTTACCGGGGAGTTGCTAAATTCTAAAAATGGTAATTTTGCAAATGAAAATTGTCCTTTGTAGAGAGGTGTCCGCTAAAGGGAGGTGCGCTACTGTACTTCATCCTTTAAAATGCGTTGAAACAAGTAAATGTATTCCCTCTGTACAGAAGGCGAAGAACTATAGACAACTGCTAGTGCAAGTTAACTCGCCCGTAGTCGACACTGAACTGGCTGGCCAGAAAAAGACTCTTTCTACATGTCAGTATATTTTGGAACGTTTTTTTTTCTCTTTGTGCATGATTGTAAAAGACAATTGATATGATAGATAAAATATTTTCCGCCACATGGGCTGAATTATTTCTCAGTTCGTATATCTTATTTCTAATATTAATTCTCTATGCATCAACATAGGTAGTTAAACTTTACGAAATGTTCGTTGTTTTTAAGTATTTGTGTTTATATTGATTCTTCATACGGATGTTTATCTATGTCAGTCTTATTTCTGGTAATCCGCAACCATAAAGGAATGTATTTTCTTTAAAGGAGAACACAAGTCTAGGAATATAGTAGATAGAACTAGCTGTCAGGATGGAAATGATGACACCTACCTGCAGGGTGTCAACTACGGAGCTATCCTGGATAATGAGGCTGAGCTCGGGGTTGAACTGCTGTGAAGGGAAATAAGAGAGGACACTACCTACCTGCAGGGTGTCAACTACGGAGCTGTCCTGGATGATGCGGCTGAGCTCGGGGTTGAACTGCTGTGAAGAGAAATGAGAGAGGACACTACCTACCTGCAGGGTGTCAACTACGGAGCTGTCCTGAATGATGCGGCTGAGCTCGGGGTTGAACTGCGGTGAAGTCAAATAAGAGAGGACACTACCTACCTGCAGGGTGTCAACTACGGAGCTGTCCTGGATGATGCGGCTGAGCTCGGGGTTGAACTGCGGTGAAGTGAAATAAGAGAGGACACTACCTACCTGTAGGGTGTCAATTACGGAGCTGTCCTGGATGATGCGGCTGAGCTCGGGGTTGAACTGCGGTGAAGTGAAATAAGAGAGGACACTACCTACCTGCAGGGTGTCAACTACGGAGCTGTCCTGGATGATGCGGCTGAGCTCGGGGTTGAACTGCTGTGAAGAGAAATAAGAGAGGACACTACCTACCTGCAGGGTGTCAACTACGGAGCTGTCCTGGATGATGAGGCTGAGCTCTGGGTTGAACTGCTGTGAAGTGAAATAAGAGAGGACACTACCTACCTGCAGGGTGTCAACTACGGAGCTGTCCTGGATGATGCGTCTGAGCTCGGGGTTGAACTGCTGTGAAGGGAAATAAGAGAGGACACTACCTACCTGCAGAGTGTCAGCTACGGAGCTGTCCTGGATGATGCGTCTGAGATCGGGGTTGAACTGCTGTGAAGGGAAATAAGAGAGGACACTACCTACCTGCAGAGTGTCAACCATGGAGCTGTCCTGCATGATGCGGCTGAGCTCGGGGTTAAACTGCTGTGAAGGGAAATAAGAGAGGACACTACCTACCTGCAGAGTGTCAACCATGGAGCTGTCCTGCATGATGCGGCTGAGCTCGGGGTTGAACTGCTGTGAAGGGAAATAAGAGAGGACACTACCTACCTGCAGAGTGTCAGCTACGGAGCTGTCCTGGATGATGCGTCTGAGCTCGGGGTTGAACTGCTGTGAAGGGAAATAAGAGAGGACACTACCTACCTGCAGAGTGTCAACCATGGAGCTGTCCTGCATGATGCGGCTGAGCTCGGGATTGAACTGCTGTGAAGGGAAATAAGAGAGGACACTACCTACCTGCAGATTGTCAGCTACGGAGCTGTCCTGGATGATGCGTCTGAGCTCGGGGTTGAACTGCTGTGAAGGGAAATAAGAGAGGACACTACCTACCTGCAGAGTGTCAACCATGGAGCTGTCCTGCATGATGCGTCTGAGCTCGGGGTTGAACTGCTGTGAAGGGAAATAAGAGAGGACACTACCTACCTGCAGAGTGTCAACCATGGAGCTGTCCTGCATGATGCGGCTGAGCTCGGGGTTGAACTGCTGTGAAGGGAAATAAGAGAGGACACTACCTACCTGCAGAGTGTCAGCTACGGAGCTGTCCTGGATGATGCGTCTGAGCTCGGGGTTGAACTGCTGTGAAGGGAAATAAGAGAGGACACTACCTACCTGCAGAGTGTCAGCTACGGAGCTGTCCTGGATGATGCGTCTGCGCTCGGGGTTGAACTGCTGTGAAGGGAAATAAGAGAGGACACTACCTACCTGCAGAGTGTCAGCTACGGAGCTGTCCTGCATGATGCGGCTGAGCTCGGGGTTGAACTGCCGGCAGGGTGGAGACCAGTAAGCACCAAAATAGATCAGGGCAAGGGACTTATTCTTGATGACTTTCCAGATTTCAATGGGACAACCTTCCTGCTCGTAGCTCGCTTGTTCCAAGATGGGCATAATGTTGGGGTAAGAGTCTTTTTCCCTGTCAGCCATCCCCCGCCGTTGTTGTCGTCTTGGAGATGGCTATCTGGGCTTTCTGCTACCTCAGCTCAGTCAACGTCGCAAAATCAATATTTGATTATATAACCTAAAGTTGCGGGAGGAAGATATTCACACATCTCCACAAGTACTTCTCCTTTTAATTATGCGTCAAAACGATGCACTGTTCTTCATCCCAGTAAAATACTTCACTAGTTTTTTTTTTTACATATCCCTATTACACGTGGTACAGGCCATGATAATCATGGTGAGTAGAAGTAGGTGACTGCTTTTACTGTAAGTACACCACATGTCTATACATATGAAAAACAGTTCGAATTTGCACTTACAAATGTGCCAGAGCCCCGTTTGGTTACTTGCACTAGCTGGTGAGGTTGGACTTTTGCAAGAATCAGAATGATTTTTTAAATCAGAAAAAAGTGCCCAATGCGGGAATCGAACCCGGGTCGTAGCAGTCGAAAACCAACGGTTTAGACCATCCTTCCACCGATCCCCAGCGACTTCACTAGTGGTGATAAAGAATGAGCCATAAGACCAGTTTTGGCAAATTCAAACAATAATCCAACCTGTATACCATGTTCTCGGACTTTGGCTCTCATCAGTGCAGGGAAGGCCGAAACCATGGTAAACAGATTGGCTTTTTGTCTGAATTTGTCAAAACTGGTGTTATCTTATATTACCACTAATAAAGTCTTTCACTAGTGTGCTGAAAATGCATCGTTCTGACGCATAATTAAAAGGAGAGGTGCCTCTTTTGGTATATATTGTCAAGAAGCTCAGCGGCTCCAACCACGAGAGGCCCCATGGGACATCTGTCAATCATCCCTGGACACCGGGTGTGAGGGGTTCTGGGAATCTGGCCGGCGGGGGGAGCTGACGTCCCTCATTAGGATTATCTTTTAACTTGGGGTAAGTTGTACTCCCTTTCTCTGCCTATAAATACCCCTTATAATAAATTATTTATTCCCAAATTTGTCCTTGCTTTATTTATCTCCGCGACAATATTGTAATCAAATATTTATTCATTATTTTTATTAACAGAGTGGTCATTTTCATATTTGTATTTTGCTACTCTGTAAATTCCCCTCATGGCTTATCTTTTGTTTACCTTTCATAGTTTGTCCTTCCCTGAAATAAATTTTGTTTCCTCCTGAAGTTTTTGTCTTCCCTAATTTTCCACGTGGCGATATGTATATGAAAATATATATTTCGTAAAACCATACACAATTAAAGAAAGTTATTTTTTAACCACTAAATATTTTAAAAACCATTTTCAAGCTTTTTGAAGGAATTTACCTTTTTTCCCTATAACTCTGGTCTGAAATTTTTATAAATTCCGTAAGCACTCTAACTGTTGGAGACATTTAAGTATAATGTGTTGAATATCAATTAAATGCCATTTATATGTATTCAATAATAATTAGCCAACCCATATCTTGATATATCAAGAAAAGCTAACAACATATATGTTTCAGGCTGTTGGCCCTCATCAGCGTGGTGCAAGCTGCCTCAAAGCCCAAATAATCTAGTCCAACAGGCTTCTCGAGAAATCAAGAAATGGGTAGTTAAGGCCAAATTTACGTAAATGTGCTAAAATATGTGAAAAAATTAAAGATAAATAGGAAGATAAAGTCAGATAGTGATATTTAAAACTATATCTAAGTTACTGGAGGATGGTATTCATAGATATGAATTCTAGATCAGAGAGAGAGAGGAAATAATTCTTTAAGGGAGAGAGACATAGATAATTGTATGTTTTTATATGTAAGTTTTTGTTGTTTAAAAAAAAAGCCTAAGGAATTTATATCGTTCAAGGAAGTATTTATTTCGGGTGAAATTTGGAGATCATACTAGACGCTAGTTTGTCCTAGTGAGCTGGACAGCCCAGTAGTTGGCATTCCACAGAACATCCTGTGTATTATATACATTCATGGGCAAACCTTAAAGAAGTTGTACTTTTTAGAATGTATATCAGGATTCAGACAATAACCCTGAAAGATATTTGATGAACAGCTATCTTTATTGTTCCCAGTGAACAAATTCGCCTTTGTTTTCTTCAAAAACAAATGACGGACGACATCAGAATATGAAACTTCTTTTAAAATATTTCTTCAAGTTTAGATCTAGATTTATAATTCCCACATGTGGCTACTTACTGATAACTACTGGGGCTCGAGGTGTAAAGTAGAGGAAAGTTTTGTGGAGAAGTCTGGAAA